CCCTCCTTTTTCTCTTTCTTTCTTTCCCCCCCTTTTCCCCCCTTTTTTTGTTTGCTTCCTGGAAGGCAGCCTCGACTCGTGTGTCCGCAGCGCCCCAAGTGGGAGTCGCCGTTTCCGGTGCTGTCGAATCCAATTTAGCCGCGCTGTGCATTTGCTTGGAGGCGTGCAGCCTGGTCCCCCGAGGTCCAGACCCGCTCAGCCATCGCTGATTGTGGCATGGATTGCTGGCGGGGCCTTTCTCACCCCGGACACCGCCCTCAAACGTGCATGCAGTTGCTTGCTGTTATTTAATTTTCTTTCTTTTTTTTTTTTGAGACGGAGTTTCACTCTTGTTGCCCTGGTTGGAGTGCAATGACGCGATCTTGGCTCACTGCAACCTCGGCCTCCCGGGTTCAAGCGATTCTCCTGCCTCAGCCTCCCAAGTAGCTGGGATTACAGGCATGTGCCACCAAGCCCGGCTGATTTTCTATTTTTAGTAAAGACAGGGTTTCTCCATGTTGGTCAGGCTGGTCTCAAACTTCGACTTCAGGTGTTCCGCCCACCTCAGCCTCCCAAAGAGCTGGGATTACAGGCAGGAGCCACCGCGCCTGGCCTTTTCTTCTTCTTCTTCTTCTTTTTTTTTTTTTTTTTTTTTTTTACGTGATTGCAGTTTGTACCTGCAGAGCAGATCACCACCAGTAACCGGTGAATCTGGGCCTTAAAGTCCTCGAGTTTTTTCTGATAAACTGCAACATCCTGTCCTGACCTTTTCTGATAGGGTGGGTGGCATCACCAGCCAATCATGGGCATAGTCGGACATTATAGTAGTCTGACTGAATTATATATATATTTTTTTCTTAGATGGAGTTTCATTCTTGTTGCCCAGGCTGGAGTGCAGTGTCACCATCTTGGCTCATTACAACCTCCACCTCCTGGGTTCAAGGGATTCGCCTGCCTCAGCCTCCCAAGTAGCTGGTATTACAGGTCTGCACCACCACGCTCTGCTAATTTTGTATTTTTAGTAGAAACGGGGTTTTACCCTCTTGGCCAGACTGGTCTCCAACTCCTGACCTCAGGTGATGCGTCCACCTCTGCCTCCCAAAGTGCTGGGATTACAGGTGTGAGTCACCGCGCCTGGTCACATATTTATTTTTAAATACCTCAAAAAGAGAATAAGAGAAATTGTTTACCCGTGGCTCAGAATTAACGTTTTTTTGCTGTTTTTTCTTTTTGCTTTCTTTTGGGACACGGTCTCTGTTGCCCGGGCTGGAATGCAGTGGTGTCATCCTAGCTCAGTGCAGCTTCAGACTCCTGGGCTCAAGCAATCCTCCTGCCTTGGCCTTCCAAAGTGCTGGGATTACAGTGGCTAATTTTTAAATGTTTTGTAGGGACAGAGTCTGTGTTCCCTAGGCTGGGCTTAAACTCTAGGCTCAAGTGATCCTCCCACCTCGAATTCCTGAGTAGCTGGGACTCCCGGCATTCACCCACAGGCCCGACTAATTTTTTAAAAAAATTGTAGAGACTGGGGTCTTGCTTTGTTGCCCAAGCTGGCTTCAAGCTCTTGGGCTCAAGGGATCCTCCTGCTTTGCCTCCGAAAGTGTTGGTGTTGCAGGCATGCATGAGCCACTGCACCCAGCCTGCTTCATATTTTCATTTTTTTTTTTTTTTCCTTTTGAGACAGAGTCTTGATCAGTTGTCCAAGCTGGAGTGCAGTGATGAGATCATAGCTCACTGCAGCCTCAACCTCCCCAGCTCAAGAAATCCTCCCACCTCAGTCTCCCTGAGTAGCTAGGACTGCAGGCAGGTGCCACCATGCCCAGCTAGTTAAAATTGTTTTTCTAGAGAGGGATCTCACTGTGCTGCCCAGGCTGGTCTCAAACTCTTGGGCTCAAGCGATCCTCCTGTCTCTGCTCCCAAAGCGCTGGGATTACAGGCATGCAGCCCCGTGCCCAGCCCACTTAGTCCTTGTTGAAACATTGCTGGGTGTTCTGCCTACTTTTGTGGCTGCTGCTGGTCCTTCTCTTTTTCCCAGCCTTTACATGGTGCAGGTGTAAGAGTTCAGTGTTGGATCTCTCTGCTGTCTGCTCTCACTCCTTAGATGAATCTCCTCCAGTCTTAGAGCCTTAAATACATTTTAAGGTTACATTTTCATATCGTTATGACTCCCAAATATTTATCTCCAGCCCAGACCATTTCCCTAAACTCCACATCTACTCCACTGCCTGCTTTGAAATCTTCACTTGTACAGTGACTTAAGAAAAACTTTTTTTCTCTTGGAGAATAAGGCATCCCAAGAAGAACATGTCTCATGTTCCCCACACTTCCTCCTGCAGTCTTCTCCAGCTCAATGAATGAAACTCCATTCCTCCACTTACTCAAGCCAGAAGGCTTGGAAGCATCTTATTCCTCCCACACCCCACACCATCCCTTCAGACACCTCTGGCAGCTCTAACTTTGCCCAGATTCTACAACTTTCTCTGTCTCTCTCTTTTTTTTTTCTGCTATGTGTGTTGAGGGGAGAGGGACTTGCTGCGTCACCCAGGTTGGAGAGCAGTGGTACAATCATAGCTCACCGCAGCCTCAGCCTCCTGCACTCAAGCAGTCCTCCCACGTCAGCCTCCCGAGTAGGTGGGACCCCAGGCGCACATCACCTCACCCGGCAAATTTTTAAAATTATTTGGCCAGGCGCAGTGGCTCACGCTTGTAATCCCAGCACTTTGAGAGGCCGAGGTGGGCGGATCACAAGGTCAGGAGTTCAAGACCAGCCTGGCCAACATGGTAAAACCTTGTCTCTACTAAAAATACAAAAATTAGCTGGGCGTGGTGGCAGGCGCCTGTAATCCCAGCTACTTGGGAGGCTGAGGCAGGAGAATTTCTGGAATCTGGGAGGCAAAGGTTGCAGTGAGCCAAGGTCACGCCACTGCACTCCAGCCCGGGCAATAGAGCAATACTCCATCTCAAAAAAAAAAAAAAAAAAAAAAAAAAATTATTTGTAGAGGCTAGGTGTGGTGGCTGACACCTATAATCCTAGCACTTTGAGAGCCCAAGGCAGTTGGATTGCCTGAGCTCGGTCAGGAGTTTGAGACCAGCCTGGGCAACATGGTGAAACGCTGTCTCTACTAAAATACAAAAGAAATCAGTGGCGGCATGCGCCTGTAGTCCTAGCTACTCAGGAGGCTGAGGCAGGAGAATTGCTTGAACCCAGGAGGTGGAGGTTACAGTGAGCTGATATCACACCACTGCACTCCAGCCTGGGTGACAGAGCAAGACTCTGTCTGTACGAAAAAATATATATATATTTGTAGAGACAGGGTCTCCCTGTGTTGCCCAGGCTGATCTCAAATTGCTGCTCTCAGGGGATCCTCCTGTCTCCTTCCTCAGCCTCCCAAACTGTTGGGATACAGGCATGAGCCACTGAGCCTGGCCTCTACCACTTTCTGATGGCCCCCACTACCACCTCACGAGTCCAAGCCAACACTGTCTCTTGCTATACACTCCTAATTTCTCTCCTTAATTCTGCCCTTAACCCTCTTTCATTCTCAACACAGTAACAAGAAGAATCTTGTAAAATGTAACTCATTTCACTCTTCTCAAAAATGTCCATTTCAGAGTAAAGGTCCTAATTTACGCCTTCTGTCCAAGACGAAGTAACAAAGACCAGATTTACCCTCCCAGCTGCAACAATAAACAAAAAAATGCATGAAACAATGTGTTTTTCAAGACACTAGACATCAGGTGACAAAAGATAGTGTTGGAGAGATGGTAAATGTGAGGTGAGCCCTGCAATTGCTTAGCTGGAGAACTAAGAGGCCAGCTGACTTCCTTGGTTGTAACAGAGCTGAGTCCAGAAAGAACAAGGTAACTGCAGCTTATAAGGAAGAGTGCCACAGAGAGAGTTCTGCACAGAGAGAGAACCCCAGAGATCTGCAGAGAAACCCCTGGATATGTAGCAGAGTACATCAGCACACACGTGTGACATAATTACTTGCTTCTTGGGAAAGAACCATCTGAATGCATTGGAATAGTGCT